ATGATTCTATGATTCTATGATTCTTTTTGGCACCATTTTTTTTTATATGCCACAGTAAGGAGCTGTTCTAATGCAAAAGCTACCAATGAAAATTTTTCTTCTTCAGTGGATTGTAAGATATACATGCCTGTATCAATTGTCCTGAAAAGTAATGTAACTTCCCCAAAGTGCTAAATACACAAATATATACTCTCTCTCTCTATAGAGTATAGTGTGTGTGTGTGTGTCTGTATATATATGCTATACATATAACTGGGTGCTTAGTGGCTTGATGCTGTATATACTTGTGACCCTGCAGGTTACTGAGGCTCAAAGCATCCCTGAAAATAAATTCTCTCTTTAGAAATACCTCAGCTGCTCAGTCTTGAGAATCCAATGTTTGAAAATACTGGTTTCTGCTTGTGACTTACGGCTTTGTGATTTGTGTAGGTAGTTAGTGGCCAACTATGCTTATAGTTAGTAGGTACCGAGTAAAGGAAAATGTGTACATGAGAACTGTTTGTTTGTGGAATAGTCTGTCAAGGAAAACTTTCTTGTTTTGAAGGTAAAATCTATAAACCATACGGAAAAGCCTGTGTTACAGGATGATGGGTGCAGAGATGGGTGTGTTTATCACCTCTTATTTCTAGAATTCTGAGCCAACGGTTGGACCTAAGAGATAAAAACATAACATACTTTGGTTTTTTTTTTTTTTCAGAACATGGGGGACTACCTTCAGTGACATCATCAGTCAGTGCCTCAGTAATTAAATCTCCATCTGATCCTTCACATGCCTCTATTCCACCACCACCTCTTTTGCTTCCAGCAGCAACAACAAGGAGCAACAGCACATCGATGCCCAATAGCATTCCTAGCCTAGAAAATAAACCTCCACAGGCTATTGTTAAACCACAGATCCTGACCCATGTTATTGAAGGCTTTGTGATTCAGGAGGGGTTAGAGCCGTTCCCTGTAAGTGTAAAAGTTTCTATGAATTTTTTACTACTAATTTTTGAAACAAACTATTTTTAAGGATGATGTTATTTGTGGCTAGTAGCTATTTAGATCTTGAATTATTTTTCAAATGTTGATTTTGACCTTTTTTCCACTGATTGGTAATCTGTTTCTTACAGCATTCAGTATACTTGTACACTGTTTGTATTGTCTTACGTATATAATTGGAATTCGTGCTACTGTTTGTCTTGCCACTATCACTGGGTGACAAGGTACTAAATGAAAACAGACACACAGTTGAATAGGTAGGCTATATCCGGAGATAACTACAGAGAGTGATTTTAGGCTACCATTTGCCACAACTTTGTTTTACGTTTGTCTATCTCCTAGATACCTCAATTCAAGTGATATCTTAATTTAAACCTCTGAGATGAGTCTGTGTTAAAATTCTAAAATGTTAAAATTTTGTTGTTTAAAGCACTGGCAAGCCCCTTACTGAGCTTGGTGTGATTAGCACTGTGCCTGGTAAGAATTACTGTTGAAAATTTTAAATCCACAAATGGACAGTTTAAAACCTACGAGCCTGCCTTATTAACTAATTTAATGTGTCTCTCATTTTCCCATTCCTTCATTTCTCTAGATAGAACGTGTTTCTTCCTTTGTTAAATGGAATTGCAAACTCTGCAGAGCAGGAGTGAGTCTTTGTATTTGTTTGAGAAATGGTATTTAGAGCTTTGGCACTATATAATAGTGATTCTAGTCTCAGTTACAACTGCTAGGTCGCAAATACTATTTTCAGTTATTCATTGTTCAGTTAATCACTGTTGCTTTGCTTTTATTGCAATAGGTAAGTCGTTCATCTTTGCTGGTAGAACAGCCTGCAGAAAAAAGATTGCTAGTGGAGGGTCAAATCATGAGTGTTGTGTGTGTTGAATCAGACTTGCAGAATACAAAACCTGCAGACAACTCATCGGACACAGAGATAGAGGACATGATTGCAGAAGGTTTGTAGTTTTTGTTTAAATATCCTTTTTTTTCTCTTCAGTTCTGTATGTATTGCAGAATCCCATCCCTTCTATACTTCTGGAATCTTTCACCAGTCTTTACACTATCTCTAATAGAAACTATTTTCACATGTTTTTTACTACCTACACATCATAACAGCAGTTGCTGTAGGTGCACACAAATGTCAAGAAACTATGCACTTGTCCTGCATAGAATACAGTGGTCTCCAGCACACCTCAGGAGCTAACCTGAGTTCCCTATGCAGTATCTGACGTAATCATAATCATGGATTTTTTAGAACTCAGCAATCAACTATTTTGGATATGTTACACCACTATTACTGTTCAAGCCCAAATGTAAATAGCCTCATGAGTGTTATGAAATGGAAATTAAACCGTGGCCTGGCCCAGAAAAGCCAAGTTATTCTTTAACTCACATTTTTGTATAAATTCATCCAAGATTTGAAAGTCCAGAATTTTTCAGCCACCTCTGGATTTTCTCTTCCACAGCTTGAGCAATTGCACAGAAGCTGGTTTTGGTGATCTGTTTAAATTTGTCTTAGTGCAACTCTTAGTTTCATTCTCTTAAAATAGTTCTTTTCCCTCTTTCATACCAAAACTGTGGTGAGCAGGGTAAGAAGGGACAAATACAGTGCCTTCTACTGCCACAGGTCTGCATTGGGGAAGTGGCTGGAAAAAGTCAGGACAGTGTGTCCTGAGCAGTAGCAAGTGTCACCATAGCTGTGCTTCAACTACTTCCCACTCCAGGAATTGTAAATTGTCACTTAAATAAAACAGTCTATCCCCCTGATCTCTTCTCACAGGAACTTTCAAGATAGCAACACCAATGGCAGTTCATTAGTAACTGTGGTTTCTGCCTTGGTGAATGGTACTGAAATGCAGTAGGGAAGTTGGCTGCATCCATTGTGTATCTCGGCAAACAAATTAGCTCGAAATTCAATCTTTTAGATTATTAGATTCTGATACATTATTTTTTACCACGATGGTTTATATCCATTGCTGCTTGTAAGTGTGTTGGGTCAGACCCAAGTCAAGGATTGCAGACAAGGTAAAAAGCTTGCTTTAGAAAGCACTCTGAATTCAAGAAGAGTATTTGTTGGGAGTGAAGTCAAGTAAACATGATTGGAATTGTTGCTTAAGGCTGATTTACTTTACTGCTCAGGCAATATATATCTCTGCTTAAAATTAAGAGTATATTTTCACTTGTAGTGCTGATTTTTAGTAGGAGCTGGTTTAGCTTGGAAGCACATCACTGAAAGGAAATATTGATGGGTTGCAGTCCTCCTACATGTTGATAGAACATCTGTGCAAAGAAGTCAGAAACTGGAAGCAGTGCCTGAAAATGAAACATAAAACAGGATTTCCTGAATTATGGCTAATTATATGATTGCATTTGCTAGTATATCTCAGTATAGTCCAGAGCCCTTCTTCATTTTGCAGTAACAGCCTAGTTTAGGCAGTGGCAGATATTTGAAGTGCTTTGCTTTATAACTGTAACTTTCTTTTTATTATGTTGTAATTAAGTTGTCTACATAGAAAAATGAAGAAAAAATTTTTAGAGTCCATTTTTAAAATCTGTTACACAATATTCTACTGTAAAATAATTTGAGGCCCATACATTATTCTTCACAAACCTTCACATAGGCAAGGCAGACTAAATTTTAGAAGGCAAGCATCTGGCATATTAATAGTGGACGGTTGCAGTGTGACTGGAAGTTTTCTAAACCTTTGCTTCATTTAATTTAAAATCGCTGTTATTTTTTTGATATCATCTCCCAGTGAGGGCTTCCATTTAACCAGTTGTTTGAGAGGGAAGTCCAGTGACATGAAAGCATCAAGCACAAGAGGCTTTTAAAAAAAAAAAGTCATCTGGTAAATTGTATGACTTGTTTGGTTATTTTACAGCTAATGGAGTTATACTACTTTTCTACACACAAAATGAGACTTCTAAATCTCTTAGCTCATGACTGTGCTTAGTAAATTGCTATTAAATAAACTTGCTTTCTTGATCAAGAGTACAGCTTTTTTTTTTAATACTTTGTTTCACCCAGTATATTTCAAAACAAACTTTTTGCTGTCTGGTGTATCTTCTAGAATATTTGAAGCTCTGTTTGCATTAGTTATTTTGCCCTTAATTTGTTACAGCAGATCTTAATTCAGTTGTCTTTTCAATAGCGTTCCCTAAGAACTTTTCGGTATTAACACTATGTTGTTTCTCAGATTTCGAACAGCTTGTCTGTTGTTTTATGGAATTATTCAAACATTCATGGTTTTGTTTTTAGTTATTGTTCCTGACAGCTGGTGTTAGGTTTATGTACACAATTTGCCACTACTCATTAGATGAGCTAGTAGGAAACATCCAGCATTGAGACACATCCACATATGCGGAAGTTGAGCAAAGGAGATTTTCTGATACTAAATCAGGGTATGATTGCATGTACGGTAGAAACACCTACCATGCAAAAGAAGAGGCTCTTAACATCAATTTTTGCTTCACTCTGTTGTCATTTTTTTCCACATAGCATGACCTGGATTGGGAGTGAGGGGTTTTTGGTTTGGTTTTGGTTTTTTTAGAGAGCGAGTGATTTATTTGAAGGATGCATCTCTGGTTTCTAACTTAAGTTGAAGGTTGGTCAGATTTGGTATGTTTCCAATTTCCACTTTTTACTTCCTGTGTGATACCAACTTACTAAGTTGGAGACTTGCAGCATGGTAATTTTCAGTCTGACACTGCCGGAGGATTTGTTGACTTCAGTTATGTCTTTGAGTCCTGATATATCAGATATATTATTCAAATACCTTTTTCAGTATTTTCAGCTCTTTGCTGCACTAGTGTTTTTTTGTTATCTTGTCAGTACAATAGTGTTAGCAAGCTGTTTAGTGAGTTAACATCGCTGTAACATATTTCTGCAAATTCATAGTTAAAATCTTTCAATTAAACTTTGATACCTGCATTTGCAATAGCTGGCATCAGAGCTTAACAAAGAGTTTAGAACAAAAAGCTAGTTTGCAATTTTTGCAACTAATTCTGTAAAATTGTAAGTACCAACGCGGAAGGTGAATAGCAAGAGGCAAAGTATGTAAAACAGTGACTCAGGTGTGTTAGAAGTGTGGGAGAAATGTATGTTTGTTTAGTCCTCTGAGTTTTTGAACAATGTATTTTGTCCATGATTGCAGCCATGTGGCATGCAGTTCTTTTACTTAACCTGAATGAACACAAAATGTTACATTTCAGTTTCTGCCAGTTTCACTCCTTCACTCCTTATGATGCATTTCACAGATGGTGCATGGAGATAAGGTTGTTTTTTTTTTTCCCATGCCAGAAGTCAGGTTGGTTTGCAGATATGGTGGCATTATTCTAAACTATGTACAAACCATGCTCTACACATGAAGTACGCTTCCAGCAGAAGAGAGCATAGACATTCAGCATGTGACGTGTATGCTGCCTTGTTGCCTTGTAGTGCCTTCTTTTGGGCTTTTCTACATTTTCTTTCACTGGTGCTTCTCTCAGCTGGTGTTTGAGTTCTTCACAGGAAAAGGAACAGGAGAAGTGCCTCCTCATCTCACCAATAACAGAAAAATGTTCTGTAACAGTAGACTGTAAATTGGTAGATGCTATAATCCTTTTCTTTCTTATATGCAGCTTATCTTTTTCATAGATAAGATTCAATGTTTTACTTGCTTTCACAAGTCCCTTTGGTTGTAGCAGTTGCTTATTCAAAGGAAGTATTTTAAAAGGTTAGTGCATTATGTCATTACAGGAGAGCTTGAATTTAGACCAAGGAATGCCCAGTTCTCTTAATGAACTCTTTGTAAGCAATTCATGAGGACTGTAACACTTCTTTTTGATTGTTCGCTATGTTTGAGGGCATACTTGCTCATGGATGGGTTGAAATTTAACAAAAAAGCTGATGAAGTTCATTGAATAACTTAATTGAAGGTTCAGTTTGCTCAAGATCTTTTCTATAGAGAGTGAAATCTATGACTTGCTTAGTTTTGCATAATTTTCTGTTAATCAAAGTATTTAATGAAATGTGTTAGATATTTGAAAATCTTCTACCTGCCTGCTTAAGATAGGAAATCTGAACATAATTTTGTGTCATTGAAACTGACTTCTTTATGCCTTACTCCTTTCTTTAGAGGGACTGGATGAAATTGAAAATGATCTCCTGAAGTGTGAATTTTGTGGAAAAATGGGATATTCTGATAAGTTTCTACGGTCAAAAAGATTCTGCTCCACATCCTGTGCCAAAAGGTACTCTGTCTAGTTTTTGCTTATCATTATCTGGTTAATGGAATAGCATGCAAATAGTATCTGATGTTGAAAAATAAAGAAACAGTAAAACATGACTGCCTTCTACCCGAATTTGCAGAGTATATGGGTACAAAGGACTAGGGTAGATCATAATATATTTCAAGAACGTAAACAAAG